ATACTTTTTTGAGAGAGACAAGTCCTTCTAGCCTTGGAATAAACTTCAATTTTGGACAATTTTCAAAAACCAACTCAACAAGAGACTGCAACTGCTTCAATTCTTCAGGAATAGAAACCAAATTAGAGCATCCCTTTATCTCCAATTTCTCCAGAGCAGTGCAAGATGAGAGCCCACTCGGTAGACGCTCTAATTCATCACAACCATCAACATTTACTGTTTTGAGAGAGACAAGTCCTTCTAGCCTTGGAATAAACTTCGGACAATTTTCAAAAACCAACTCAACAAGATACTGCAACTGTTTCAATTCTTCAGGAATAGAAACCAAATTAGAGCATTCCCTTATCTCCAATATCTCCAGAGCAGTGCAAGATGAGAGCCCACTCGGTAGATGCTCTAATTTATGACATTTGGTAATAATTACTGTTTTGAGAGAGACAAGTCCTTCTAGACTTGGAATAAACTTCAATTCAGGACAATTGTAAAAAAATAATTTTTTGATAGACGTGGAGCTTGATAGGCCATCTCCTATGCTATTTATCACACTACAATCTGCAATGCTAAGTTGCTCCAGAGATGATAATCCACTAACCAAAACTCTCTCTAACTTACCACAACTGAATATGGATAATTGTTTGAGAGACGTAAATGCTCCATCACCATCACCCAAACTAGTTACTTCATCACAACCGTGAATATGGAGCCGCTGAAGAGATAGAAGCCCACTAATATCTGGAATTCTGTGAAGCATCTTGCAATTGTCAATTGTCAGAACCACCAAATTGTTGAGTGACAACATCCATGATGCCAACTTTCTACCTCCATAGCCAGCAATACATAATCTTCTTATATTTGAGTGGGGTTGGAGGCCTTCTAAGACATCTTCATCTTTATCTTGATTGCCTTCACCTCCCGACCAATGAAATTCCAAATCCTTGATTGCCTTCTCTTTTAACTTTGCTGCCTCTGCTTCCGATTTGCCAGTAACAAGCTCAAGCTTAAGGATCTCTAGTCCTCCTTTGAGTTCGCTTAAGCTTCCCAATTCTTCAATTTTACGTCCT